CCGCATAAACCATGCGTGTACAGCAAATAGTGCATAAGGACTCTTATTATGTTGAAGATTTTATTACAAATGGAGTGAAGAGTAGCATCAACTCTGACAAAAGAATAGACAAGGAATTTGGTGTGGAAAATGTATCAAGGGATGAGACTCAACCCCATATCTTAAAGTTAAATTAAGATCGTCCATATTGGTGGAATCTTGACTTCTACATGAGTAGTATCAAGTCTTAAACTTCAATAATAATAACAATAACAATAATAGAAGCATATATCATTAAAGTGATTCAAACACTTACTAAATTTTACCATTCCAAGGTTAAAAATAATATTTGATACGAGAGGTAAATAAAGGCAAAGGTCAAATTTTACTCATATATATTTCCTCTAATGCTTATTATTGGACACTTCTAATAGAGGCTATATCTATAAAGGACTTGTCTCTTAACACACAAAAAATATATTAGAAAAAAATATACAAAATGGCGTCAAATGTGCCATATCAATCACATATAACAATCAATGATATAGAGAGATATTATATATAAGAAATCCGTGCTATTAACTTATATGAATTAAATGAAAGAGTGTTCAGACTTAGTGTCAATCATTTTATTAATTACTAAGTAGAGGTTTAAATCGCAATTTAACTTTATCTACAGTAAAATACTTCTGGAAATGATAAGGATTTGGATTTATTTTAATTTTAAATGGTGGGAATTAAGTATGAGAGAATATACAAAATAGTGGGTGAACCAAAAGTTGCTGATCAACTTTTGGTCAAGTGAAGACTTTGTTTATATATATATAGAAAGTCTCACGCCTATATTAAATTGTGATAAAATGGAACAGTATCATTATATATATATGCCAGCTGGTTGTAGTACGCTTTGAAATTTTGGTGAAATTTTCTTCAAATTTCAGTCATCAACATCAACATGAAAAGCCATTATGAATGCAACCATATTCTAGGGCAAGCAAAAACTTGGGCACAGATAGATTCACTTTGGGATCAAATTTGAAAACAAGGACACAAGTTACTGTGCTATAAGGCAAGCTATAATGATGGTAAGGTATCTATAAAAACAATAATTCACACCATCTTGTAGACATGAAATTAATGGGCGGAAAAAATAAACAAAAATAAAATCATGAATATAATATATAATTAAATAAAATGAATAAATAAATAAGGATGTTTAAAATCGAATTAAACTCTTTTTAATTTGTTAAATTTATCCAAAAAATTAAAAATACATAAAATTAAAAAAACTCACAATTTATATTTCATTCAGCTCTTTATTTTTATTATTAAAATCAAACTAAACTAAATCGAACTATGCTTCTAATATATTTATATTTTTTAATTATTTTTTTATACAAAAAATTTCATTAATCTTATATAATAATATAAATAAATGATGTATTATTTCTATCTATTTTAAACTCTAATTTCATTCAATTGAATGTTTTTAAATAAATAAAAATTTTTTAAAAAAATCTGAATTAATTACAGTGAAATATCGATTTAATTTTTATATTACATTTAAAAAGAATCATATATTATTTTTATGTTCAATATAAATAATTTTTGAAGTAAAAATTAAATAAAACTAAATTATAAACGCTGCTATTAATAGCATCGTTGTTTATCTTGAGTTTTGAAAAGGCAAAGTTTATATATATGCAGTGTTACGGTTTATTCTACAAGATGCGTTATATGAATTAAAAAGATAGAGAGAAATCCACAATATTTTCCATTCTATTTTATCATACAGTGAAAGAGAAAAGGAAAGCGATTAATTAAACATGTTCTAATAGGAATATACACTTAGCATATAATCATATATACACATTTTTTACTGATAACTCCCCACTTTATTTTTACAAACCAAATCTCATTTAACGTCTTAATTTCAAGGTAACTATTAGAGTTAGTAAGATCAACTTGTCCAATTAAGTTAATTCAAATGGGTTTGATACAATATAAGGATTAAAGTTTTAAATTTTGATTTAAGCTTTTTAGCTTAATTTAATTAAATCTGTAAAAACTCACAAAACTGTTTTAAAAAGTTAAATTTTATTAAACTTAAATATTATTTTATAAACTCGATTAGAATGGACCAAATGACCTATTTTACTAACTCTAATAACTATTATTTAACGGATAAGTTCAACATATTTAATTTGCAAGAAATTTATGAGAATAAAGAATATTACTTTTGATTAGATATAATTAAGCAAGCATTGAAATTCCCACTAAGGAATATTGAGATGAGAGCAGACTTTTTGCTACCACCCTCGTTGTTATGGCCATGGAAATTGCCAATGGTACAGATTCTACTGGTTTAACGTTGCATGGCCCCATTACACTGAAAAAGTGATTAAAATTGAAGCCAATCAAACAAAAATTAAATTGACAAAATAAAAAGCTTTTGACTCTGTATCTCCAGATTCTGATCTTTCCTCAATCATTGACCCACATAAATATTTGTATTTTTATTTTTTAATAATCAAGTGGTCGATTCAAATATGTTCAGAAGGTTCATTTTCTATGCTGAAGCCATGATTGCAGTGCCTTGATGGATGATATGAACCAAACGAACTATTACCTAAGCGTAATGTTTCAAAATATACCATTCATATCAAAAGTAATTAGACATTCAATGAAACGATGTTTAAGGAGTCACAACTATATGTCCAAAGTCAAAACAATTCATGCGCCATGTTTAAATATATGTTTAAACTTGTTAAATAATTATTTTTTAAATAAGAGAAAGAGTTAATATTGTTATAAAATACTAAAATATATGGTAAAGATGAAATTAAAAATAAATATTTATGGAAGGATTTATATATAAGTTTTTAACCTATGAGAATTAAATTAAAAAAAAATCTTGTAAAGAAACTAAAAGTTCATTTAAGTTGAAAAAAAGAAAGCCAAACATGCTTGGTGTGAAGTTCTTGAGTGGTCGTATCTAAAGAAAAAGTACAAGATAGATGATGTCGAGCATGCAATTACAAGCAAACATGGGTATGGACCCATAAACCCAAAGGACAAGAGGAAATGACAAAAAAATGCTCGTGAGAAAACACATCAAGAGTAACCTCCACGGTTTGCATTGCTATGTTCGGCAAAGTCCTTTTTGCCTAGTGATGCTGTACATACTATCTATTACACTACACATACCATAGAAATGCAAACGAATCTTTTCCAAATAGCAAACATTTGCTTTAAGAGTTAATGGATTAATCCTTATTTTCATGAACTAAGCTTAATGCTGACTCAGTTCTTATTAGGAAACGGGACTTGATTCCTTTAAAAAATTAATTCACAGAAAAAAAATTGTCTAAATCTCATAAAGTACGTTTTATTATAGTTTTAACCATCTGAAATATTTTAATATCCCACCATACTTAGAACTAAACATCAAGGTGTAAGAAAGCTAAACTTAAACCAAAAAAAATGCCAAAAGGTGGACTAGGTGTAAATGCTATTCTAATAAAAAGAGAAATCCCATTATTTTTTAATGGATCTTCTTGTTGATTAGTTAGTGGAAGAGTGGAAAAATAATAAGTGAGAAAGAGAAAAGAAATTGAAATAGATTGTCTGAGAGAGAAGGAATTGCATAATCCTTTTCCACAAGTCACTAGAAATCCAAATCATTCAGTAGTTCACCATTCTTACTGTCCAAAGTTCATTAGAGAAGAGGAGTAACTAGTGAAAGATTTGCTTTAGATTCCATGTCATAGGCTCATAGTGCCAATTGTTGATTTTTTAGCAGAAAAATTGAAAGCCGAAATAGGCAAAACACCTTGGCCTACCTCACTGATAAACACAACAATGGGCCTTCACAACAGAAAAGCTTTTAAAAGATGGATAAGCAACAAGAAATAGAAACTTTAGAAATGAAAACCTAATGGAGGAGTGGGGCCTAATGAAATGTGAATGGACTTGGTCTTTTTTTCTTACAACAACAAATATCAAGATGAAACCAGGAGTCAATAAATTGAGTTTATGTTTTTGTAAAATCGATTTTTTGTATTTTAATTAATGATGTACTTGTATAACAATGTGTTACTTTCTAATTTCTTTTAATGAGTTGTCGTTATTTTATTATAAACCTATGATTAAAACTTATAAAACTAAGAATAATTTTTTTACTGATTTAAGCCAATCTAATTTTAAAAACAATGCTAATCATATTCACCTTCTAAATGATGGACGATATAAGAATTAAAAAGCAATTTCATCATATTTTTACCCCGAAGCTTTATAACCCACGAGTATTTTAATGTAAACACGAAAGGATGGGTGAAAATCATTTCAAATAAACATTTCAATTAACAATTATCATGCCTTGCTTAGTAGGATAAAAGAAGCAGAGTTTACAGAACATGAATAATGGCCCATCAACCATGTTTATATAGCTTGCTCAACTAGATGGTGTAGCCCCCTTCATGAATTACAAATAACCAAATTTATTTTTGAATCTCTTTTTTTTTTCACTTTTAAATTAATGTTTCCCTCTCATATTTTTATAATTTTCAACAAACTTTAAATAATTAAAAGTACATGTTGCATTAGATTCTCAACCTTACATGTTTATCATTGCTTTGAGTGCCTCTAATCGAACTAATGGGAAAGAAATCGGGGCTTGTTACCGTTCTTTTCCATTCTGTTCCACACAGCAACCTAGTATTCTTGCAGAATTAGACCGAAGTTTAAGTGGCACGATTTTCCTCTATAATGTATAAATCTTGATGCTAAATTTGCGTCCAGTTATTTGCATAGTATTTGTTTTAATACAGATTCCTAACTGATATGTTAACCAAATTTGTAAAATGATTAAATAGTCTAACTAATAAAGAGGTTAATCACTTCCTGAGATAAGAAATAACTCATCGATCACTTATCAAAATACGTTTAGCTAATAAAAACTTATATATAAAGACATATAATAAATTCCTCGTTAAGCATTAATGGTTCAGTTGTTAATGTGCAAGAAACAATTCCCTTGACATTATGCTAATAGACTGCACAAATTCACGACTCATCAAAATCTTTTTTTAAGCCGGTGCAACATATTTTCAGGTACACATCAACGAAAATTTATGGCTTTTCTAGCTCCAGTTTATTTACTGCATCAAAATCATTACATAAATAAACAAGGAACTAGAAATGATAATGTTACAGCCTAGTTATCAGCTAGCTGCAGCTCAAATCATTAAGGGTCTAAGAACTTTTGTCAGCAGCTTTTCCTAAAGAGGTGAAGTTCAACCTGAAAATAAGGACACAATGAAACCAAATTTATAGCATAACCAAAACAACAAGTGTAGGAATATGGAAACCAAGATAATTACAATACTAGCAATTGGTATTGTCTACCTGATAAGAGGCTTCCTCATTGGTGCAGGTGCAGGAGTCCCGCTTAACAATGGTGCTGTCAACTCAGCAGGCTTTGCCAAAAGAAAGAACAAAAACGGGAGAGAGAAACAATGAAAGGGAAGAAAAGAAAATAGTCAGAACTGCTTCAATTTCTTCATACTATTTGCACTGTAAAAGAACATTGTAATTCTCACATAATGTCACTGATATAAAAGCAATTGGTGTAAAAATAAAATCTGTAACAAGAGATCCATATTCGGGATGTGAGAATTCTCCAAGAAAGCACAAGGATAGAAACATAATCCAGCTTATTATGTTAGCTCGGATTAAGTAATAGCAACAAATACCAATTTAATACCCTCATCTAAGAATTTACAAAGGAACCGGTCAGATCGACGTGACATCATATAATCTATATGGACTCCAGAGTTCGGATAACCTTCATCATATATTTGTTTCTTAACATAATGCTAATATCATACCATACTTGTATTATGTATCATTGAAGAAAATTAAGCCAATCAAATTCTATCTAAAAATATAGTGAAAAGATAAGGACAACAGCAAGTACCAGACATTGAACAGAAAAGAGATTGAAAAAAAGTCCAACAAATTATAGCTCCTATACAGGTTTGACTGGGCTTTGAGCAAATTTAGCAAGCAATTCAGGGAAATTTGGTATCTACGTTTTACAATTGCTGCATGACATTTTATTGAAGCTGGCAATAAAAACTTTCTAAATTTAAGCCATAAAAAGAGGTTAACCTCAAGCTCCTCCAACCCATCATTGGAGCATAAATGAGTCGAAAGATTAGTTTCTTTTGAAATGACAGGCTCTTCTGCCACTGCAGACTTTGAGTTTGAAGATTCCAAGTTGCTGATATTCATGCTCCCACCATAATCTTTGACTTGATTTTTATACACAATATCATCTTCAAGCTCATCAGGTTCCTCAGTGAAGGTTTGATGTGCTTCATACGGACCGGACATAATTTTCTCAATGGCTAGCTTTTCTTCTTCTTTAGAATTAGATATATCAGTAGTTGCAACTATGGGGTTCACTTGTTGGTTACCTGTCACTGATCCATTGGTCTCACAATCCCCAGAAGGAACTTCCCCAAGGGATTTAAGACAAGGTTTCTCACTCTTTTGTCCACCCATACTGTTGACTTCTGATTCATCAAATTTCATAGAACAAGAACTAGAAGCACTTATAGGAATTCTATCATCATGAAATTCCCTGCTGGGGGTAGGTAAAGATACAAGGGACTTGGAATTCTTTGAGTTAGTATCCATGTTGTCCTCTGATCGCTTTCTCTTCCTAACGTCATCTACTTCCATCGCAACGGCTTTACCTCCTTGAGGCTTTTCTGTTTGACCATGGCCAGAAACCCTTAATTTGGAACTTTGTTTATTCTCACTATTTCCTTTTGATGTGTATGATGGTCGGACACCGCCAGGGAATATGAAGTTAGGTATGCTACGGCGTTTCACATGGGACACATGGATATCCATTCCAGGTTTCCACAGAGTGTATGCGTTGACAGAATGCTTAAATTCTTCTACAGTTAGCCTTATATCAAATTGCTCACCTTCATTCACTGGAACCCCTTGCTTACGCTGCAAACCCATAAAGTAACAGTGGTGGAAAGCTCTAGTTTTGTCTGAAAATTCACCAGGATGTGGATGACACTGAAGCATGCCATAAGTGTGCCTCTCAATCTAGAAGTTTAAAGGAAGACCAAATTAGGATATATATGAATTGGAAAACAGAAAATATACAAACTTGCATGCAACCCCCTACATTTCTAGCAAAGATTTAAAAAAAGGGATAAGAAACAATAAAAATTATACTTTCAACGTTAACTGGCGAAGACGAGACTCAACCCAGCCTTTCCATTGTCTAAGGTCATCCTCGTTCTCTGCTGTAATGTCTATCTGTAGATAATTCTTGTAAACTTCAAAAAAGGGATAAGGCTCAAAAAGAGTGTCCCAATCAGCCTTGCTAGCGTCCATAGCCTACAGATACCAGAAAGACCAAATTGAAGCAACTTAAATATTGCAACAAGAACAAAAAATTATATAAAATAACAAAAATCAAAGCCAAACATATCAAAATTATGAAAGTAAACCATCCTGCATGAAATTGTTACTTCCTGGATAACGTATCCAATCCATTTATATAAACTTCTATAAACCAGAATTCAAGCCTTATCTAATCAAACATTGATCAACAATCAATCCTTTCATAAAACTTTAAAGCTGGCAACTGACAAAAAATGTAGAAAGAACCGTAGATCGCAAAAGGAACTTCAAGGAAATTATTATGTTGTCAAAAAAGGGGGGGTCAAACTTGCTAAACAAGGAAATTTAACCGATATATATCTACTGGCATAACTTCAATACACTGCCCCACTGCCAGACCTGAGTCCTCTGATCATTGGAAATCTAACTTGAAGGACCCATGTCAAATCATCTAAGGACAATGGTTTAGTGCCCCAAAGCTAATGGGATGAAACAAAAAAATTGGGGAAACCTTGAAAAAAATTTATTTCAATTTTTAAACTTCATATATACTGAACTAGACAGCTTCATCAAGCTTTTCCAGAGTTTTCCAAAAAGAAACATTCTTGAAATTGTCAAATCATACCTCACATATTTCACTTCCCCTCCGAAACTCCTCTGACATAACACGCAATGTACTTGATGTCACATTGTAAGTAGAGTTCATGCAAGGATAAGCAGGAGTAATTATAGGCATTAGATGATATCTATCCTTGGGATTTCTTCTAGGATCCCAGACTGGTAGTCCAAGAGATCCTTCTTCAATAGCACAAAGCATGACTGGATTTGGCCATCGCCATTGAGTATATACCCTAAAGAATCGAGACACTAACATATTAGGTAGTGCATTAGGATATAGCTGGCATATTCGAGCAACAAGCAATGCCAAGTTTATACCACCAAGAAAACCTGCAACCTGCTCATGAAATAGCAAGAAGATGATTAGGAAAATCAGAAGAGTACATCAAGTAATAGTGAACTAGTTCAGAACAGTGAATAAGCATCCTTGTATGAGTTATGTCATACATTTGAATAAACACCACGACGCTTTGCCCAAAACCTCATGCATCTCAATGTTGTGCGAAAAGTCTGCATTTCAGAAACAGAATACAATCAATGAAAAGTGTGCCATAAAAAAAAACTGAAAACAAAATATGTGGGAGTATAAATTTTATATCCACCACCTGAATATTTGGAACCAAACGCAGGACTTGATCAGTTACTCTACAACCATTAAGACTAAGAACAGTTTGTTCATCTGCATTTTGTAATATTGATTCCTGGGATATATCTAAGTCCTGTGAAAATTCAAAATATTACTTAATAGTAAATAAAAGGTAAGATACAACTTACACGTTTAGATTTGTAAAACCTGAACAAAACATATATGGCAGAGGGGTAATGTATGCACATCTGTAGAAGTTTCATTTTCAAAGGAACTAAAGGTTTAATGATTAAGTCACAAATGTCCTAATCTTTAATACAGTAACAGTTCATGTAGTAAAATAGGGTGCTGTCAAAATTTCATTTAAAATACTAAGCATTTCTCATATATATAATCTCCTTCAATTCAAACTGTTCTCAAATACTCTAAAAAACCACATAACAATAATAACTCCTGATAAGGAGAAATGGAGGACGTAGATGAGAACAAAAGGAACAAGAATTGTACCCAAAACACAGTTAATTGTTTTTGCATAAATTACTTACTTCAGGAATAACCCACAAAGCCAATCTTGCATACAGGAGATCTACAGAAACTCCATTAAACTTGAATTTCATCACAGGGACATGAGCATCAGGCACAGGGTGCAATTCTGTTACTTCCTGCATCTCAGATAGCATCTTATGTAGCTCACCAAAGAAATCTTCCTAAAGCCAATTTAATAATAATTTTAGCTGACATGACATATGAATGAAAAAATTATATATGCACAATAAAATTGCAAGAATTATCATACATCTCTGGTTGCATGTCTAGGTCCCACACAAAGAGTATCTATATCAGCTCCAGGGCCATGCACCTACAGCATTTGAAACAAAAACTTTGGTAATAAACATAACAAAAAATATTGCAAGCAATAAATTTATTTGATCCTAATTTCATATTGCTTCATTGTTTCTCTTCCTTTCACACTAGGTTTGGGAAGGATTGTATTTTCCCCACAGCCTCAGAAGACTTTTTCTCTACCTAATACCCATTGTCAAGGTTTTTGGAAACATGGACGAAAATTCTCAATGGAACTGTGAAACGGTGCTTGTTTTGCTGGTGTTGGCATCTTTGGCTGGAATGTAATCCTAGAGACTTCAAACAAAGTTTTCATACAACATATAATCTGGATTGTGAAATATGTAGAGGATTAATGAATGTATCATTTTTCTTCAATTCATCATCCCAGTGCATTTGTAACAGAATAACAAAAATGAAGATACATACAGTTACTCTGGCCAAGCTACAAACATAAAATATATCAAAGTTCTGAAACATACAGTTTCACAAAAATATCAAATGCAATAATGCATATAACTATAACCAAATTCAAATAACATGATTTGATTACATTACATGACACCATATGCTTGAAAAAACCTACAATTTTGAACATTATGAGGTCCTATCAGATGTAAACACAGGAAAGAAAATATCATCTAAAGAACCAATATGTCATACGAAGATAGTGCTATCTTAATTCCTAACTCTCCCTGATACATGCTTTGTCCAGCAGACACTATTCTTGGATATAATAAAGCAAGGATTGGTGGTGTGCATACACACACAAATAAGAAAGTTTGGAAGACAAGAGTAGCTCCATACCCCTAGCCGATAAGAGCCAAAGGTGAAAATCTTGGCATTTGCTTCTTGCACCAGTTGTTCATTGAATCCCTTTGCACGGCTAATGTTTTTAACCCAAATCTTCACAATCTAGTTCACATTACAACAGCACAATCAAAACAAACAAATTCACAGCGATTTCCACTACATTTGAAGGAAGGGCCTCTCATTCCTAAGACTACATTTCCAATACCAATACAATATAAAGCGAAATTGCACTGAACATAAACAAATTCAACCTGGTCCAGCCTGCCAAGCACCTCCTCCCTACCCACAGCCTCTTGCTGACTCTCATACAATCCAACACCTTGCAGGTACTGAACCCAGAATCCAAATTCAGCACAAATTAACACTCATTAAAGCTCCAAAATACACATGAATTCACAACAAGTACAAACATAACCTTCTCAAGCTCACGTGTCTTGATGACATCTTCCTCAGTTGGTCCAGCCAATGAAATGGGCTCAGTTATGCCTAACCTTTGCTGCCCATTATTTTGATTGTTCAATCCAGGGATCCCCATGAACAAACAAATTGATAAATATTTTTTTCTTTTTTCCTTTTTTTTTTTATATGATATCTTTTGTTTCAATGATAGGTAGCAGCAACAGTGAGTGTTATCAGTTATTGACGATAATTTTCCAGTGTTTTCCCAATAAAATCAAATTAAAACAAAATGATACAGAAAGTGGGAAAAAAAGACAACAACAAAAACACTATAGCAACGTGACGATAATTGTTGATTGTACAGTATTTTGGGGAAAAAGTTCAAAGCTATGAACTGTGCCATAAAAACAAGAAAGATGAAATTACAAAGGCACCCACAACAATTTTATTGCAAAAGCGAACATAGAGGGAGTACAAAGCTTCTATGGGGCTTCTAAAATTGAAATCTGAAACCGCAACCCTAAATCCGCACAGCGAGAAATCACGGCACCCACATGAATCAGAACTCAAAAGGCTTCAACTTGATCATTTGTTGAGGTTGCAGCACTCCCACCGTCGTTGAATTCAACCTCAAAAGCTTCATAGCATAATATGCATATACACATAAAGAAGATTCGATAAATATTTCAAAAGAATAGAGAGAGAAAGAGAGAAAGAGAGAAAGAGAGAGAAGAGTTCTTACGGAGAGGGTGGATGTGGTTTTGGTAACAGCTTGGTGAAACGCTATGCACAATGATGAAGAAGATATGGGAACAAATTAACTAATAAATAAATAAATAATGATTTTTATATTTCTCTGTAGCAGATATTTAGGTTAATAAGAGAATAATAATAATAATGCAATAGATAGTTGTTTTTATTCATTTATTAAATTTTTTCAGCAAACAAATATATATTTTTAAAACTTTTTAATTTGTACACTTCATATATAAAATAGAATAATCGAAAAGAAAATAATAGTAAGCATGTTTGAACTTTCCACCATTTACCATTCTCATTTACACCTTATTCAGTTGAACTTTCAAATTATTTTATTTTATTTATTTATATTCAAAGTAAATTGACAGAATAAAAATTAAAATCCAGAATGCATAATAACAGAGAGGATTGGAAAATATATGAAGTATGATTATGATAAGAATATTGGAAAATATTAGTTTAATAAAACACGATTTCAAGTTATTTTTACTTTTCTTAATAATTAAGTCTATTATTTTTAAATTATTTGAGTCCGATGTTTTGCTCTTAACTTCCTTTACATGAATTTTTTTACATTATTTTAAATATAATTTCTTGAACACACAATAAAAAATCTTAAATAATATTTTTTATTAAAATATAATATTTAATATTGGTAATCTATTCAATTTTATAATATTTTATTATTTTTAATAAAAATTTATTATATGTAAATAGTTTATTAATATTTTTATTTTATCTTGAATTATTAATTCTTTTATTTAATAACAATAATAATAATAGTAGTAAACAACAACAATGTATAATAGTCATTCCTTGGACAGAGGTAATGGCCAGTATGTATTTTTAGAAAATAATAATAATAAGTACATTAGTTAAAAAAATAATTTTTTTAAAAATATAAAACTATGTTTATCTTCATAATTTTTAATATATTTTAATGTAATTTTTGTTAAAAAATTTATTAAATGGTTAACCAATGTTTTTAAATAATTATTGAAAATATAATTGTTTACAAATAAAAAATTAACAATAAACATCATGTTAAGATGATAAAAATGAATTTAACGTAAACAAAAATATTAAATATTTTTAAAATCTATATGCTGTTATTTTAAAAATAAATAATTAACGGATGAAGTAAATTTTTCAAGAGTTATGAAAAATATAAAATATATTTTCTGATACAATTATTAACTGTATGTATATAATGAAAAAAATTGCACGTGCTTTTTCATTAATTAGTGTATTAAAAGTATCAATTAAAAAATTAATAAATAATAATTTTTTATTGAAAATTAAATTAAATATATTAAAAATTATAGGAATCATTATATTGTTATTCTTTTTATTTAACATTTTTATTTATTTATTTTTAGATGTGTCATTATCCACTGTTCTTAATGCAAACAATTATTATTGTTATTTTTATTTTTTGCTTCGACTGTTATATGAACCAAATGAAACTACTTCATTGCGTAGAAAGAAGTTTCAGAAAGAGGGTCAAATAAAATGGACAGGTTATGAAATTATTTTTGCTATATCAAGCTGTTAAATTTTAAATTTAAAGTATTTAAGAGGTTATTAACAATCATTATTACCTTTTATCACCCTCTTATCTTAATATTATACTATTATTATCTTTGTAACTTTCACTAATCGATATTGTAATTACTTTTATGTTTTCTTTATATTTCACAATATTACTACCACTAATTGATATTATCACTACTTTCATCATTATCATTATTAAACCATGATTAACTATTGCTATCGTAACTATATTTTTTCACTCTAATGTTACTCATTCGTTAAGTTAATTTTTTTTACTCAAACTGAACACGATCTTACTGATGAGTATTCCTAATTAAAAGTGCAAAAATATAATTAAAATTCAAGTTAGGGTTTTATCTTTAAATTCTTTACACAACTTAAACATATGAATTATGACTTCAAAGCAATTTCATACACCAAACAGACCTTACAAAAATCTTCTAAAATTGTGTTCGAGTTGAGTCTATGGGCTTCAACTAAAACGTTAGGCAAGTTAGATAATGAAAAGGAACAAGGAATGACTCCATGGATCGATCAAAGCCATTGATGTTGTTCTTCCTCCATTTCTTTCTTTTCTTCATAGATTGATAAAAACTATCATCCCGTCATGTTGGAAATGACACATGCATGGACGTTTTAAACATGTTTCATCAAACTAAACGTTATCCTCCACCCACTTATTTGTTTAAACACTGTTTTTTAATATTTGTTAGTGCATTATAAATTATAATATTTAGAAAATGTTCCATTATTTGTATTACTATCTTGATAAATTATACCATGCATATTTTTATACTATATCACACTTCTAAACTATGCCATGCTCTATCACATCTACACTAAAAAAAAAAGTAGAGACACCATAAGGTGTCCCTCTAAATGTTCAGAAAAACATATCTGTATTGGAGAGGTTTATATGGATTGAGCTCAAAGATCAAATGTTAAAATTCACCATAAATATCAGTGTGGAAGAAGGATAATTTTCACCCAGCAAGTTATAGGTATGTAATTTTTTTGAAATCATACAAAATTGATACTTGACACTATATGAGTAGTAAAAACTATGTGATCTGAGACCACCCAATAATTTTTCTTAAAGAGGGGTTTATTTATTGTCAATGCTCTATCACATTTTGCTACATCAAGAAATATGAATTGCCCCTCCACCATGACAAGAAATTCAGGTTATACTCCTTTTGCCCCATGGCAGGTATCAACTTTTAAACATTTTCGCTTTTGGATTCTTTAATTTGCCTGTATGTTAAAAGGTAAATCAACAAGTGATGCTTTGTAACTTTATTCCTTGTTGGAGATCAGATCTACTAGTTTTAAATAAAGAAAGCGCCAAGTTTTACATTTTTCTAGGCCAAGATTCTTCGGTAACATTTCCAACGATCATCCATGAGTGACAATGTGCCATTTTGGATGAATTTGCACTTCATCAATTTCAACATACACAAAAAGTAACCCATAAGTTGATGAAAAACACATGCATTAAAAAATGGAACACATCTAATGAACACTATCATTTTGCTAATTGCTAAGGTTGTACCAAAGATTATGTATTACCAATTCAAGACAAATGGAATGAAACAATTCAGATGCTTGATAAACAAGTCAACATAACTCGCCCGCATGATTAAAATTGACAACGTGGACGAAGCTGAGCAGTTTTGAAATTGAACTGTTGGCATTTGGCAGTGTTAATTGGTGGTAGTTAAACACCTTTCAAAACTACATTTCTACGCCAAATCTTCTGAACTTTTCTGTCCATATAATAATGGAAACTTATTTGGATTTCTCTATCATTCATCTTATATTGTAGGGATTTTAAAGGATTACGAAGAAACTCATTGCTTAGCCGTTGAATTATTAATCTGTCCACTAATGACTCTACCATGGAGCTTACCTAACAGGTAAAAACTAAGAAAAAACATAAATTTATATTCATTTTCTTTAGTATTTTTAGCGTTATTTTTTTACTTAAAATTAAAATCTTACTTCAATGAAAAATAAATATTGTAATAAATTATCAAAATATATTTTATCGAAAACACTAATCAATCAAAACACGAAGTTATGTAGCTATAATTACAGCATAAATACATGAAAAACATGCAATTACAACATTGGGATTGAGTAAGTTCAAATTGTTTGTTACTTTTACAATTAATCAACAACAATCGAACAAAAAAAGAATACAATAAAAAAAGGAAATAAAAAACAGAAGTCTTGATGAAATGATCACTCACAAGACACGTTTCTCTACCGAACCCAACATGTCTCTGTCTTTCCGCAATTTGAGGCAATTTGGCAGCCAAAACAGTCCCAAAAACGCGTCCTTGTCACGCTGCCCTCTGAGCTGTATCCCCATTTCTTTCCGCACATCAAAAGAACCCAACCAATTAATCATAAAATAATCTTTTATTTTTATTTATTTTTCAAATAATTCTTTTACATGTGCATTCCACTACATCTATGTCACATGTATCAATCATATGTGCATGAATTCTTCAGGGAAACTGGAGCATTAAGCTTCTTGGGATCCAAAGTGATGGAACATTGAATAGTCTTATAATACTTAGGCTTCACCAATTTCCCCAACACATAAGCCCTAGATCTTAGCACAAAGTTTAGGTTCAATGGCACTGGCACTGTGGGCAAACCCGTTGTGCTGCTCAAGCTAGCACCGCTTCCATACAAAGGGATCTTGTTACCCATAACTGCTACACTCACCAACCTTTGGCTCTTCCTAGACTGATAAAACTCCTCCATCTGAAACAACCGATTCCAACGTTAGAAAAAGGGCAACATGTTTTGTATTATAACTAACTAACTAACTAACTAGGATGTGCTGTTCATGAATCTTACATTCCCCGAAGCAATCACGATTTCTGAATAGGAAAGTTCTACGGGCGTAGATGAAACATGAACACCAAAGAAAGTGCCAGTGTTGCGGTATGTGAATTTCAAAGTGGAATTCATGGTGATCATATCAGTGGCCACCCCAGTTGAATCCGAACCAGCTTGAACCCTTAGACTATCAAACTTTATGCTCTGCAGAATGCCAAAATAAAATAAAATAATCAAGACCCAGCTTAAATTTCATCCTAAGAATGCGAAATTGATTAAGACATAGTTCATAGGCCATTCTGAAAATGAAAAATTGATCCATGCCCAGTTCAGATTTCATCGAAAAATGAAAGTTTAATGAAGACCCAGTTCAAATTCCATTCTAAAATGAAAAATAAAATAAAATGATGACCCACCTCAAATTTCATTCAAAAAATTAAAAATTGATGAAGATCCAGTTCAGATTTCATCCTAGGAATGAAAAATTGATCAAATCCCAATTCAAACTTCATCATAAAAATGAACAATTGATAGAGACCCAGTTTTTATTTCATCGTAAAAATGAAATTTGATCAAGTCCCAATTCAAACTTCATTTTAAAAATGAACAATCGATCTAGACCCAGTTCAGATTTCATCCTAAGAGTGAAAATTTGATCAGCACATATTTCACCCTAAAAAACTCAAATCAGGGATAAAAAAGGAAACCTAGAAGTTGAAAAAAGAAGACCTTAATGGAGATCTTAGGCTTCATAGGTCTACTAGCACCCCAGAGGATGAGTGAGAAGAGGGAGAAGAGAAGAAGGAAGCCAAGAACAAAAGCAAGGAAGTAGCAGCGACGAGGTAAAGTGTTGTGGCGATCATCCCCTTGTAGAAGACCTTCTTCTTCAATGACATCGATTTGCTTCCATGTTTTGAGGCTATGACTATGGTGATCCTTTTTGGAGAAGCGTGTTGAAGAGGAGTGGCGAGAGTGAGGAGGGGAAGCCACAGGGCTAAGAACAGGTGTGGAATGGAATGAAGTAGTAGCAGTTTTCTCACCATCGTGAGAATCTCTTGAAGGACTTTGAACATAGTAGAGAGGGCGACGAGGAGGTGATCTTGTTGGAGATGAAGCAGCAAGGCTTGTAACCTCCGAGTCTGTCTTGGCATGCATTTTTCTCTCTCTTTTTCTCTTTGATTGTGTCTCTTTCTATCTCATCGATCACAATCTGTTTAGGGAATGAGAAACTTGAACTCAACTAATGCTATGTGTGTGTTGAGGCTTTTAGTTGCACAAGTGGGAACTCATGTGGAAGATTTTGGGGTCTTTTTTAGTTTTTAACATTGATTTGGAATTAAATAGTGGAAGAATCAGCACAAGTGGAGATTTGAGTTTGATGGTGACATTTTGAGAAAGACAGCAGAATGGAGCCAACGATTATTTGTTTTGTGAAGAATAAGTCTTCTTATTGGATTTCGAATTTAGAATAGCCTATGGTTAATGAGGTTTTTATTGTTGACTTTGTAAGAGAAGAAAATGGGGTTTATTCCCACTCTACATTATTTGCTGTTACTCTGTTTAAATTTTTTATTTAAATATTATTATTATTATTATTAACTGACAAAGAATTTTTTATACAAACGTGATTTAAAAATTTTTACGATAAGCATTTTAAAGTTATAATAGATTAACTCAAAAAGTAAACGCATCTCATTATCTCAATTAATATTTTATTTTCTTTGTAAAAAAATAATATTAGTTGTGCATAAAATATTGATCGCATGAAATATGATTTTATATTTCCTTTTTTTTTATTCCATCACTTATAATATTTCTTAACTCTTTTTATTTCTCCCTTTCTTTAACCTATTTTAGATCCAAAATGATTATATGAAATAATATTTTTTCTATAAAATAATAAGGTGAAACATTGAGAGTGAAAAACAAAAAAAAAAAAAAACATATAATAACAGAAGTAATGAGTTCATATAAAATTTGAGTAATGAATTCTCTGGTTCAGTATCCTTTTTATCATCGCATTCACATGAAACAAATAAATAATGCGTTAATGTATTAATGGATTTTAAATATTTAAGTAACGTCTCTCGTTGAGTCATTTCATTCACATTTATTATTTATTAATTTCATTATATATTTCTATATTAAGATATTGAAAGCAATATTTTTATTTAATTTAAATTTATTTTTATTTTTAGCACTTTGTTTTAGTTTAGACGATAAATATTATTCACGAGGAGGAGAGAATTTTGATCAAACTTAAAACATTCATAATATGATATTATTAAAAAAAAATTAATAAAAAAGATCATATACTATACAAAATTTTATTAAAAATTTAAACATATATTATTTGAATCAACCATTGTTAATTCGTGTATGAAATATATTGAATGCATTTCTATAATTTTGAGTCATTCACTGACGTTAGTGTGTATTTATTTATATTAAGAATATTACTTTCTCTTACCTTTAAATTTGAGTACTTTTTTCACATTTAATGCATATTGAGTGCATTTACATCCTTTTGCAATAAAATCTTTTTGTATTAAAAAATCTTTGATTTTAATTTTCGATTATGCAACTGAAAACGATACCATTGAATTAAATTTGTTTTAGTACACAATCTCAATTTTAAGCCTTTTTTTTTTTATCAGAGAGACAACTCACAAATGTTGCTTTGAAACTCTTCATCAGAATTGGTCGATGTCACCTCAAAAGTTGTAGTAGGAGTTTGGATGAAGCCGCTAGTGGTAGTGCTACGATAATTTTATTGAGGTTGGAATGTCAACTTGAGAGTTATGTTATTTGAAAGAACAATGGTTACAACTTTGATTATGAGTTTATGTTATTTGAGAGGACGATGGTTATAACTTTGATATACATTAGTTACAACTTTGGTGTAGATGATAAAGTACGTTAGCAACTACAAATCGAAAGGATCCAAAATTTAATGAGTAAATACAAAATTACTTTTCTTTCAACTCTAACCATGTAGAAAAAGGTTTTATATGCACCCTCGGGTTACCATGCACCATAGATTTTACCATTATAGTTTTTATAGGCTTACAATAAGTAGAATTTGTAGAAACAAAAAGCCCTTATTTAATGGGTTTGTTTATGATGACAATTCGTTAATAATCATTTGAGAATACCTTAGAATGGCGTTAGTAAAAAGGGTGACAAAATTTAATAGGGCAAAACTTTATTAAATTACAATGAAAGAGTACACAAAACACAAATTTGGTAGATAAATTTTCCCCATCAGCCATAGAGCCAAGGCTCTCATTTAATTTGAAAAAACATTTCACAACCTTACATATTAATCGTGTTTGATATATGTCGTCTCTAACATCAGCCACAAGTTTTCATAGTTCATCTATGAAAGTTTTAGAGTCTTGTAATTTTCTTCTTCCAATTTAGATAGTTTATTAGGATCAAAGAAATGTTTTGATCCCAATGCATTATCTAAGTGCATATAAAAGTTATGATTTTGACCATTTTACAATAGATAGATCACTATTAAGGAGACATTTTCATAAATAACATGTTTAAATTCAAATTTTTAAATATGAGTTAGATTTTTTTTCTATTAGTAGAAGTTCAAGCTACTTTTTAAGTCTCACATGAAATATGGAACAAAATAATGCTTTAATTTAGATGTAACGTGCGGTTATGAATCATTCCGATCGAGTCACTTTTCTAAATAACATGTTTAGTTAGTGTACCAGATTAGACATTACTCGACCGTACCTACAGAAAAAGGAAACTGAGTACTCCCTTGGTCTAAATAAGTCGAATATCCTCTCAGCTAGGATTAAAAGTAATTAACCTAATTAAGGGTAATAATCAAACCATTATCTACCTTAAATACAAGACTGTAATCAGGGCTGACTCATGAGGCCCATTAGCCCATAAATCTCCTATAAAAGGAAGGCAAGAGGTACAGGTAAAGAATTAACTTTTGAATATTAAATAGCATTTATTGCTCAGAAACGAATCCTGACTTTATCATCAGAGTGCCTTTTGCAGGTATATTCTCCTTACGTCAGAAAGAGAAATCTACAGTTCAAATAGTTGCAGCAATTGAAGCACCTACAAAGGAGTATCTAGAAGACTCGTGTATCCTTAAGAGGAATAGTTAGTTTATCTGCTACTTTGTTAACCTCAGGTGAAATATGCAGCAAAGAAACATATTGTGCTATCATCTTCAAAAATAGCTTAATCACTTCTAACTCGTCACTTTCACAAATATACATTAGACCATATAGGTTCTTTCAATCTAGAAAAGCTACCGATTCAGCTAGTCTATCAGCCACTTTATTAACCTGATCGAAAAAGCGTTTCTATCTCTTAGTCATGGGTTAGATCTCTTACTACTAGAAGTTTAGGTAGAAAATAACAGTTACTTAGTTAATCTCATGTGAAATACGAACCAAACAGTGTCTACACAGGTTATGATACTGATCTGGCTGCAATAGACGAATCACTTCCAGCAAGTCTCTTTCACCAAAACATTTTAAATACAAGCTATCAATTATAAATATAGACCAAACGCGTTCTTTCCATCTAGAAAAGCTACCGATTTAGCTATTTTGTTAACTGATCAAAGAAATATATTATTTAATATCTACAAAGATGTGAAAGTTACTTTGCATCATTTCTCGCGGATCAATTTTACAAATAACATATTTAAATCCAAACTCTCAAGTACGAATCCTCACGTTGAATGATTAGTAAACATTGAGAATCTGTTTGCACATCCAAATATCATTGAACACTTCATATATAATTTTCTTAATCATTAAATAATAATTTTTTCATTTCATAAAAATTATTTTGATAATAAATCATATAAAAAATATTAAAACTAAGCATATGTAATTTAATTTAAAATATCAACATCTGTAGATATGATGTTAATATATCTTAGTATTAAAAATATTGTAAGTTTCATTCTTCGCCTGACCAGTGAAAGACCCTAGGAGAAGAAAAGGTCCTAGTAGCTGCAACTGGTGTGGTAGTCCTGTCCTGTAAGCATCTGTCGAATGAATTATTATTCAGCTAAAGCTTTCTTTATTTCTCAACATTTTATGTTTGTATCTCTGAACTTGAAGTCTCAAAACTAAATATAAAAGAATGTCTTGCACTATTTTCATTCCCACGAACAAACGCCATTTTACTTTCACAACCATAAGATACAGCATTCGAACTAATCATGTTAGGCTCAGCACCGACGAACCAACGATGATTGAACAAATTCTTCAAAGTAGATACAGAAGATGGACAGTAAATTAGGTAGAAGAATAATATTATGTCAAGACTCAAATATATCTATCAATGATTGTCATTGTCACAAACTGAAAAAGCATCTAACTCTCACACAGAAGTTTCTCTGCCTTATCATCCTTATCCTTTTCAGAAAGAGCACCGGTCATTATTTCAACAGTTACAAGTGTCATCCAATGTCTTCCATTTTTTACTTCAAGGCCAAAGCTTCGTCAAGCAAGCCCTCTTTACAAATTACACTCATCATAGCAGTGTATGAATGAACATCAAAATGATAGCCTTCAATCAAAAGATCCTGAAACAGGTCTTGTGCATCCTTAAGTCTTCCACCCTTGCAAAGTCCATCAGTAAGTGTCGTGTATGTGTGTATCAGGATGAATGCCCTTGTCTATAACTTTATTGAATAATGCAAGTGTCCTATCTAAGTTATGGTTTTTGAATAATGCATCAATTATGAAACTGTAGTTAATTATATTAGCCCTTTCACCCCTATCATGCATCTCATCAATAAGCTCCCAAACATGTGAAATTCTCCCTAATTTGCACAAACCATCGATAAGAGAAGTGTAACTTACTGTATGTGGAACTAAATGTTTGCAATGCATTTCTTCAAAGAGATTTATAGCTTCATGTACCCTTTCAGGAACTAAATGTTTGCAATGCATTTCTTCAAAGAGATTTATAGCTTCATGTACCCTTTCAAAGAGATTCGTAGCTTTGTACTAAACCACTTCGGATCATGAAGTTGAGTACATATTTTCCATTCTTTACTTCATTAACTAGGCAATAGCCATCCATTAAAGCATTGTAAGTAACAAGATCAGTTCCATCAAACCGGAACTAGTTCCAATATTGCATGAGGCAGAGAAGGTCTATCATCAAAACAAATCATCACTGTTAATACAAAATTAAGCCACAGTTAACAAGTAAAAAGAAAATCACTGCTTCCGTGTATACACATCTTTCTGAAAAATAAAAAATGCGAATACAGTAGTCATCAAAAAATAAAAAACTTACTAAGCTTGCAGGGCCCATCCATAATTATAAGTTAGGGTCTTTATCCAGTGTGAAAGCAATAGGCTGCAAACGGAGTGTCTGTCATAGATGGAGGCAATTACTTACAATAATCCTTTGCCAATCATTTGATGAAGAAGTTTCTCAGCTATATCATTCTCATTTCTTTCAAAGAGAGAACAAATAATTATTTCAAAAGTTACAGAGTTAGGAAAGCATTCAATGTCTTCCATGTTTGACTTCAAGGTCAACGCTTCATCAAACAAGCCCTCTTTACAAAGTCCACCAATCATTGCAGTATATGAATGAACATTAAAATGATAGCCTTTAATCAAAAGATCCTGAAACATGCCTTGTGCAACTTTAAGTCTTCCACCTTTGCATAGTCCATCAATAAGTATCGTGTATGTGTATGCATTTGGATGAATACCATTGTCTATAACTTTACTGAACAATGCAATTGCCTTTTCTATGTGATGGTTTTTGAATAATGCGTCAATTAAGGAGTTGAAGGTAAATATATCAGCTTGTTGACCCCTATCATGCATCTCATCAATAAGCTTCAAGGCAAAAGAAATTCTCCCAGATTTGCACAAACCATCAATAAGAGAATTGTAAGTTACTGTATTTGGAAAAATACTTTTGTAATGCATTTCTTCAAAGAGATTCACAGCTTCATGCACCTTTTTAGTCTTTGCATAATCCATTAAGCAATATGCTGTAGCTTCGTACATCAGGCATTACACCACTTCGGATCATGGTGTTGAATACATATTTGGCATTCTTTATTTCGTTAACTAAGCAATAGCCGTCCATTAAAGTATTGTAAGTAACACAATCAGGTTTTACACCTTCTTTTATCATCACAGCCAACACATTTTTAGCTTCACTCACTTTTCCATTCTCGCACAAGACATCAATCAATATGCTAAAAGTATAAACATCTGGATTGATGCTTTTCAATACCATTTCATTGAACAAATCAAGTGCCTCAGACATAAAGTTATCTTTGCACAGGCTATCAATGATCGTACTGTACGCTACCACATTATGCTGAATCAATTTCCCTTCAGTCTGTCTCAGCAACTGAACGGCAGCTCTTGTTTCTCCCACTTTACATAATCCATTGATCAATGTTCCGTAACTAATATAGTTCATATGCCTTTCGGACATTACCACCAAGACAGAGACCATTCATAAGTGTAGTGAAGGTTACTGTACTTGGCTGATAACACAATCTGAAGATTTTGGCCAATACCGAAAAAGCTAAGGTCATGTGATGCAGTTGGCATAAACCATTGATGTAAATGTTAAAAGTAACAATGCTTGGCATAATTTCCTCGAATCCCAGTTGTCGAAAAAGGGAAATAGCAGTGTGGAAATGCTTAGTCTTAACAAGCGATCCCAAAATCTTGTTAAATTCAATGATGGATGGGGAAGGATGCATAGTGAGCATGCGATTGAATGAGTCAACAGCATCAACATTGTAAATGGATGGGGGCGAAAAGTGAGTGTGAAGCTTCGCAGAATAACGAGGAAAAGGGAAAAACTTGATAATGGTAAGGGAGAGAGCGTACCTTAACTTTGAGAATGGCATCTTCAGTTTATCCAGAAATTGAAATCAAAAGTGGGTTTAGATTTTGAGAGTCTGATATTTGGATTCCTTTAAAATTACTCTATGAACACGGACAAATTAATTTCGTAGAAGAATTTTCTTATTTTTTATATGAATAACTCCTTTGATATTTCACGAGCATGCCTACGCGAACCGAACTAATACTTCCATTTTAACACCAACTCGTTTTTTTTTTATAATTTTGCCATATTTAATTATTTCATAAAAATAAATTTGAGATATATGAATATATTTATTTTATTTAAAAACAGATTTTTACTTTTTTTTTCAGATAATTTTAATTAGAATTTATATTCAATTTATATATACATCAATTGTATTTTTATATTAATCGTCATCAAGTATGATTTTTAAAATAAAATTTTGAATTGAAAATATCAATAATAATTTTTTAAAATATTTTATAGAATATATAGTTTAATATTTTTATTTTCCATTTTTATGAAAAAAAACCTTTTGATATATAATGTAATTTATTACAAAACAATAAATTAAGAAAACTAAATTCTGATATCAACAATAATTTTAGTGTTACTTCATATTTTTTAACAGAATTTGTTTCTCAAGAAAAAAAATATGTTAATTATCATACTCGTTTTATTACACATATTCTAATATGTAGTCTTATATAAAATAAACATCAAATAAATTATCACACACAAAAATTAAACTTACAACTACTGATTAGAAAATAACTATGAAAACTCTATATGATATTAATATCTGTTGAGCACAAAAATAGATATTTTAAGATCTATTAAGGTACAATTGCATGTTTTATTTAAATCACTGTCATAGAAAATAAAATCTTCTAAAATGTGATACTTTTCTTCCTTAATCACACTCAAGCCTGAAACATGAATTATTTGGTAAATAGAAAAACTCTTGTCACATAAATCCTTGTATTTCTTTTCTCTTCCATCCCTTAATTTTTATTTTTCTTTTATAATACACTTGTTTTTTCTTCTTTTAACACATTCGAGTCAAAATCATGATGCTATCTGACTCCTTTAACTTTTGTAGTCTAAGTCTATTATTTTGTTGATAATTATTTATATTTTTCTAATCAATTCAATATCTAGTTTTAATGTTTGCTTAATTTTAAATTTTCTGTTCAAAAATCATTATTTGTCATATATTTTTGTGTGTAATTGTTTAATTGCTCTCTTTTTTTTTTTTTCACTATGTTTGTCTTTGACAATTTTATGCAATTTGTTAATCTCAGACAAAAGTTAATTCATCTTTTCACTCAATTTTTATTATTCTAATATAAAAGTATAAAAAAATTTAGTTATTTAAAAAAGGGACATTAGCCAACCATATCTTGCAAAACGGAATAGAAACATTTAAAAAATAAAATAAAATTTGATATTAACAAATGAAACAAACCAAGAATAACTTAAACTTGACTTTCGGAAGTGGAATTGTATGTCGATGCAAGTGAAGCGTTATAAAGTAGAAATGAGACAAAAAAAATAGAAGAAGAAAAAGGGAAGAATAACATTGAACAGAAGAACAAACACAGAGCAAAGATAGCACTAAACTAAAAAGAGGTAAATAGTCCTTTTCATTTTTTAATCATTCAAAATTGCATTCTTGAAGATAAATTGAGCCAAGCCCAAAATCAAATCATTCTCACCTTAACAACCCGTGAAAGCTCTTTCTCTATTCGTTTCTTTTTCTTTTTATTTTTCTCCAAGTCCTAGAAGATATAGTCCAATTAATGTGTTTCTCGAGCTCACCAAACTGAAATCAAAGAAATCTAGATTTTTGTGAAAAAAAATACAACATGCCTAGATTAATTAAAAATTTTAGGTTAGTTTTTTCTTTAACGTTTATTTCCTCAAGCTTTTTTTTTTATATATATTTTATTAGTATAAATAAGTCACTTTATTTAATAACGTAATATCTTTATTTTTATTCAATATAAATAATAAAATACAACTAAAAATAAAAATTTACTTAAGACATAAGCAACGTTGTTTCTTATATAGTAAATTTTTATCTAGAATTTGAATACAAATTAAAATAAAAATAATTAACTATTAATATTACAAACACTTTAAATTAATAATTACAACAAAATTTTATCAAAGTGACTTATTCCAATTATTTTTAAGTTATTTGTTGTTTGTTGTTAAGAAATTTGAAAAAACAAGTAAGAAAATTTGATGAAACTTATTATCATTATATTAAATTGTTAAGATATTCTGTAATGTTATTTTATAGATGGTAAATATAACAAATCTATTGTGAATTATTTTTAATTACTTCTATTTTAGTTTTACCTTAGGCAAAAAGACTAACAACATATGATTGTCAAAGATAGAGAACCTGTAGAAAAAAGACAATAGTTAAGATATTATAAAAGAATCAATACTTGTTAAAACCCATAGTTGCTAATGCAATGTTCATTTATATATTTATAATTTGTTTTCGACTTACGATAATCGAAGAATGTAAAAGTAATGGTTCATATTCATATTTTGATTACAGCTCAACATCATTCATATTTCTTATGAATTTAGCATCATGAGTATTATAAAAATATGTAATCCTTAGAAACAAGACATGTACACACTATATTTTAAGCACTCACACTATTATTGGATACAAATAATTCTCAACAAATAAAGTCAATTATTCATGTAAGCACTCCAAAAGGAACACAAACTAATAACAAGACAAATGGACACAATCATTAGTTTTACCTTTTGCGTTTCTCCGTTGTTGTTATTCCTAAACCAGATTGCAGCCTAGACTCTATGGTCCATTGTTATATTTTTTATTTGATCTTATAAAAAGCAATTATTATGGATTCATTGATAGAATAGAAGAAAAGTAAATTGCAAAGATGTCTTTGGTTCAAACTTAAAATTGTTTCAAATTCAGAACTTAATCCCCTTGAAGTGTGTGGTTCTAATGATTCTTCATAGATGGTTTTGCAGTGAGTATTGGTTATGCGAATGAAGCTGACATTGTTTTGCTGATCCTTAGACGTTGATTATATGAAATACGTACATTCGTTATATTTGTTGAACTGATTGGAATTATCTCGAATGTGTTTGGTAATTTCAATTCAAGAATATTACTTATAGTTTGAAAAAGAAGCATGCATGATGTGATTCCTAAAACATAATGAAACTACACATGCAAAAGGAACAAGGAATCAAAAGATTCATCACCGTTATGCAATTAATGAGATGAAGCAACCAGAATATGCATTGTGTATAAATTGAAGAAAACTAAAATTAAAGTGCAGGAATAAACATCAGTTAAAGCAGATTATGGAGTTTTACTGGGCAGCTTGGATTACAAACCTTTCTAGTTTGAGTCCTTTCTCCTCTTAAGAATAAAGATTCAATTATGGTTTGAGAGTGATGATCGTCAAAATTCTCTCTGTTTTTCAGAGAGTGATCAACAATTAAAAATAAAAATAAAAATTCAAAAGTCTCGAAATCAATCAATAACCCCCTCCTCTAACTTTTTACATAACTTTTTATATGGCTAAGTCAAAGTTACCCAAAAACATAATGTGAGGAGCGTTAGTTTGTTAGCAAAATCTATTATGAAAAAACCTTTTTTTAATAAATATTACCTACACGATAGATTGTGTATTAATTAAAAACCGTAGTGTTAAAATCAAGATTAAATTCTATTTAAATTAGCTTACATTATGTTAAAGAAAAATTTAAAATGAAAATATTCATTCAAGAAAGTTTTGTTCGAATTACAGTTATTAAGTAAATAAAGAAATACACATGCACTAGTCTACAGAAACAGCAAAGACCATAGTTTTTGGTTAGTCAACGTTTATGAAGAAACGAAAACAAAAGATGTTCACGCGCTTGAAACAGCGAGTGTGAAACCAAGACATTGTTGACTAGACTTCAGCACTATAATACCACGAATTTTCACAACCACGTATGTGTATCTCGTTCAGCATTTAGCAAGAGATTTAGAGTTCTGATACAGTTTGCAAAACAAGAGAAGAAATGGCCTTGGCTATGGTGGGAGAGGCACTCATCTCTGCTTCTGTGGAGATGTTTTTAGATAGAATAACTTCTACAGAGTTTCGAGATTTCTTTGCCAAAAGGAGGCTCAATGTTTATTTGTTAGATGAACTGAGGATAAAGCTGCTGGCACTTGATGCTGTGTTCAATGATGCTGAGGAGAAGCAGATCACCGATCTCGCCGTGAGGGCATGGCTTGATGAGTTGAAGGATGCTGTCTTGGATGCAGAAGATTTGTTGGATGAAATCAACACTGAATCTTTGAGATACAAGGTGGAGGGAGAATCTAAAAGCTTTACCCAGGTGAGATCATTATTTTCTTCTCCCTTTAAAACACTGAATTCCAAACTTGAAGCAATATCTGGAAGGCTAGAACATTTTCTGAAACAGAAAGATATTCTTGGTTTGCAAAGTGTTTCTAGGAATGTCTCTTGTAGCAAGAGTACAGATTCGTTGGTTGAACCCGTTGTGGTTGCTAGAAAGGATGACAAAGACAAGTTACTGAAGATGCTTCTATCTGATGTTGATGCCAAATCTAATAATAATACAGAAGTGATCACAATCCTAGGCATGGGAGGTCTGGGCAAAACAACCCTTGCTCAATACCTTTATAATGATAGTAAAGTACAGAACCATTTTGATTTGAAAGCTTGGGTATGGGTATCGGATGTATATGATGTTTTCAAGGTAACAAAACAAATTGTTGATTCTGTATCATCCAAAGATTGTAATAGCACCAATCCTGATGTTCTTCGCGTTGAATTAAAAAATAGCTTGAAAGATAAAAAATTTTTGCTTGTGCTTGATGACCTCTGGAATGAAGAGTATAATGACTGGAATCAATTGATAACTCCTTTTACTAGTGGGAAAAAGGGAAGTAGGATCATTGTGACAACCCGACAACCAGAAGTTGCAAAGTTTACCCATACATTTCCCACTTACAAGCTGGAATCTCTGACAGAGGAAGATTGTTGGAGGATACTGGCAAATCATGCATTTGGAAATGAAGGTTACGACAAATATCCAAGTCTAGAAAAAATTGGTCGGCAAATTGCAAGAAAATGTGATGGCCTACCATTAGCTGCTAAAACATTGGGAGGTCTTTTGCGATCAGATGTTGATGAAAAGGAATGGAAAAGAGTTCTAGACAGCAAGTTGTGGGCACACAACGATGTTTTACCAGCTTTGAGCATAAGTTATCTTCATCTTCCAGCACATTTGAAAAGATGTTTTGCCTATTGCTCAATCTTTCCAAAACAACATCTGTTGGACCGAGAAGACTTGATTTTGTTATGGATGGCTGAAGGCCTTCTACAACAATCCGCAGAGAAAGAACTGGAATTAGTTGGTTCTGATTGCTTTAACGAGTTATTATCCAGATCCTTAATTCAGAGATACAAAGCTGTTTCAGAGTACAAGTTCCAAATGCATGACCTCATCTATGATTTAGCTCCAGAGGACAAGTTCCGAATGCATGACCTCATCTATGATTTAGCTAGACTTGTATCAGGAAAAAGATCTCACTACCTGGATTGCAGTGAAATTCCAAAAAATGTGCGCCATCTATCTTTTTCTAGCAACAATTATGACGTCTCTAAAAGATTTGAGAGCTTCTATGAGCTGAAATGTTTGCGGACCTTTCTACCATTGAATAGATGGGGCTGTAACATAACCAGAAAAGTGCCACAAGACTTGTTGCCAAAACTAAAATGCCTACGAGTTCTATCATTATCAAACTATCGAAACATCACTGAGCTGCCTGATTCTATCTACGTCTTGGTGCTTCTGCGGTATCTTGACCTTTCCTCTACTTCCATGAAAAGGTTGCCTGATGCAACCTTCAAGCTTTACAATTTGCAGACTTTGAAATTGTCAAACTGTAGTTCTCTTGTTGAGCTATCTGATTCCATAGGCATCTTGGTGCTTCTGCGGTATCTTGACCTTTCCTATACTTCCATCAAAAGGTTGCCTGATGCAACCTTCAAGCTTTACAATTTGCAGACTTTGAAATTATCAAACTGTAGATCTCTTACTGAGATACCAGCACAGATAGGAAATTTGGTCAATTTACGACACCTTGATATCAGTGACACAAATTTGATGGAGATGCCAACAGAGATATGCAGGCTACAAGATCTCTGTACACTGACTTCTTTTGTTGTAGGCAATAAAGATGGATTAAAGATCAGTGAATTAAGAAAATTTCCCTATTTGCAGGGTAAGCTTTCCATTCTGAAGCTGCACAATGTTTTTGATCCCAGAGATGCATTTCAAGCCAACTTAAAGAACAAAGAGCAGATTGAGGAGCTTATGCTCGAGTGGGGCAGCGACCCACAAGATTCACAAGTTGAGAAGGATGTACTTGACAACTTGCAACCATCCACGATGTTAAAGAAACTGATCATCAGATACTACAATGGCACAAGTTTCCCAAATTGGCTGGGTGATTCTTCATACTGTAATGTTCAAGTCCTGTATATCAGTGACTGCAACTATTGCCTTTCACTTCCACCGTTTGGACAATTACCTTCTCTTAAGAAGCTTGTCATTAAAAAGATGAAAATGGTGAAGACAGTTGGTCAAGAGTTCTACTGCAGCAGTGCAAGCTCCCAATCTTTCCAGCCATTTACATTGTTGGAAAGTCTTGCGTTTGAAGAGATGTCAGAGTGGGAGGAGTGGCTAGCATTTGAAGGTAAAGGTAGCGATTTTCCTTTTCCTTGTCTGAAGCGTTTGAGTTTATCCGAATGTCCCTTGTTGAGAGGAAACTTGCCCAGTCGTCTACCTTCTTTGGAACAGGTTCATATCGCAGGGTGCAACCAGCTGGAGGCAAAATCATGCGATGTGCAGTGGAATACATCAAATGAAGAAATGAGTGTTAGAGAAGGGGGAGAGGGGTTGTCTTTGCTTGACAACTTGTCTTGTCGCGAACTATCAATTGAAAATTGTGACAGCCTGCAGTGTTTGCCAAGAATGATTCTTAATGCCAATTGTCTTCAAAGCTTGTATCTTAGAAATATCAGGTCTTCCATGTCCCTCCCAACTGATGGTTTGCCCACGTCATTGCAAACACTTCATATCTTTAACTGTGAGAAGTTAGAATTTGTGTGTGCTGAAAGATGGCAGAAATACACATCACTTGAATTCCTGTCAATCTTTAGGAGTTGTGATTCGCTCATGTACTTTCCGTTAGATTGCTTCCCAGCTCTTCGATGCCTTATTATCAATCTGTGTCCCAACTTGGAAGCAATTACTGATAAAGGTGGAAGGGCCTCTCCTAATTTATTAACTGATTTTTATGTCTATAATTGTAAGAAACTTAGGTCACTTCCAAGCTGGTTTCCTTCCAATTTACAAGTTCTTGGTGTTTATGGTGGAATATTTACCTTCCAATTACGCGTCACTTCTCTGTCATGTCTTAGTCTCAATGGGAGAGGTTTGGGGGATGTGATCAATACCTTGCTGAGGGAGCCATCACTGCCCACTTCTCTCACGTCTCTGAGTCTGTCCTTTTTTTATGGTTTAAAGCGGTTGGAAGGGAAAGGGCTTCAACATCTCACTTCTCTGAAAACGCTTTACATCTTCCAATGTGAAAGCCTCGAGTCATTGCCAGAGGATCAACTGCCATCGTCTCTTGAATTACTGAGTATAATCTTGTGTCCATTGCTAGAAGAAAGGTATGGAAATGAGAAAGGGAAACACTTCGCAAAGATTGCTCACATTCCTGCCATCGAAATAAACGATCAAGTCATAATATGAGGGGCTGCACGGCAGGCAGGAATCATCCAAAGGTATGGCCTTCAAATATTATTATGAAAAACAATAACTAACGTGATATAAATATAAATATAAATAAAGGAATTTTTTTATGTTAAATCATGTTCGTGTAATTAATTTGTTTAAATTAATTCTTATGGTTAATTTTAAATAACTAAAAATCATTTTTTTATTAAAAATACTATATTTATTAATTTATTGTCTTATTGTTTTTTTTTAAATTCAAAATTGTAAATAATTCAAATGATTTATTTACAAACTTATTTGCAATTTGATTCAATTAAATGAATTGTTATTTTTGCAAAATTCTGAAACTTTTTCTTATGACAAACTAAGAGCTTGTTTGATTTTATATTTTTAAAAATATTTTTTTAAAAGTAAAAATAATAAAATTTGTTTGTTAATATAAGTTTTATTTTCATTTTTTCTTAAAAACAATTTTTGTAAATTATTTTAAATATAATTTTTAAAAATAAAAAATCAAAAGAGAAACAAATAAACCTTTATTGTCTCTTTTTATACTAATTTATTGATAATATTATTTTCTATCTGATAAATTAACTGACAAACATGTGTTTATTAATATTTTCTAGCTGTGATGGTGCCACTTGACAACACTCATTTCAATCATGCTATCACATTGTTCTTTCATCACAAAAGCTTTCATTCGAAGGAGTTGGACCATTTACATGTTATAAAGATTATCAAAACTAATGGTTTGCTGAGGTTAATTTCATATATGGGATTATAATTTATTTTCAAGACCAGAATGTAATGAATTATATTTTTGATGTTTTTGTGGTATTCTCTAAACCTAGATTTTACATTGGAGTTTGAAGATAATTTATTAATATTTTATGAAACAATTATTACTCATGTTCTTTTGTCCCCTTTTATTCTTAAGCTATTAAGGTGTTAGTTAAGATTAAAATTATCGTGTATAGTTTAATGATATCTTTATGATTATTTTTTAAGGTTTAAGGTTAAGTTTTACTAATTTAACAGTGAACTTAATTTGATATGTAAGAGTTAATAAATTTTTATTATGACAGTCAATATCCTATAATATATTAATATTTACATGCTAAAGACAAGAATATAAAATATAAAAATTAGTTTGAGTGATCATGGTATTATTATAGTTCAATTCAATGTATTCAGTGAATAAACAGATTCAATGTACCAAATGCAAAAGAAGGATTTTTTTTTTTTTTCTCAAATTAATTTCACTTTTTGTATTGCTTGTGCTATTATGTTAGGTCCTAATTTCTTTTATTTTAAACTAGGAAGGATTACACTTCCCGTAAAAAGTCACGTAAGCCCTAGAAAAATTATTAATAATAAAATACCTTCATAAATTATTTTAATATTATATATATGCCTTATATTGGTAGAAACTTAAAATAATAAAGTAATTACATAATTTGATTTTGTGAAATTTAGGATAATATTGCTTTTATTTTTTTTATATAAAAAGATTGTTGTCAAATTTATATTATTAAAATTTATTTATCATATTTTTATTTTATTTTATTAAAATTGTGCTTTAAAAATACAAATTTGTTAGCAAATTAGTCTACGCAAAGGATTATGGTGATGATAAAAAAAATTAGTGATAATTTTATATCCTTAAAAGATTAATTGACAAAAACTAGCAAATAATTGACCACTCAATAATTATGACTTGTAGAAAATGCAAGTTCTTAAATATTATTTGGTTTGAGAAAATATTTTATCACAAAAAAGAAATCTCTGCAACTAGTTCAATCACGATTTTAAGTGATGATTTCCTTAATAAGTTATCTCAAATTAGAATATGAGAAGTACTATGAGAGAACAAAAAGAATTGTTCAAGCACAGTAGATGATTTTGTTGCATGTCTCTATGCATGAGCTCCTTGCATTTTGCTCCACCGAATTGAAGATCATTTCTATATTGGCAATCCACCCGTGCCTTCTTTTCGGGTCAAATTTCCTTCAAACTTTAAAGGTGTTCAGATCTCATTTGTAATTCCAGCAAGTCCACCTTTACTAACCATAGTTCTAGCTTCAAAAATCATCTATAAATATATTATTAGCATTCTATTATATATATATATATATATACGTGCACATTTAACTCATACAAATTCCTATTTAAAATACTAAATAAGTTATATTAGCAAATAATTATCTCATATTTTTGCATAACATGAATACAAGAAAACACAGTATAAACGAACTAGTTTCATACTTTAATTTGGTGATTTATAAATTCTAATTAAATTGTTAATTAAATCTTTTTTAACTATGATTTGAGGAAATTTAGCAAAATTTCATAATATGTCATTCAATCAATAAAAGTTTAATAATACTTAAAATAATAGAATTTAACATTTAGTTAAACATTTTCTATTGCAACACAATTTGCTGTATAAAATAAAATTTGAACATTATTATGCAGAATATAATTCTAGTATGAATCAGTCAGTCTAACTAGTTTGTAAGAGGTGGTCATTTTTATTTCCTGAATGTAAGTAAGGATGAGTCTTCTTTCACTATTAAAATATGACCAAAATAATTAATTTGGAAATTTCACACAATAAACACAATAATAATTATATCAACAATATCCTAACACATATATTATAAATACATAATACAATATGTCATTCTCTCATATACGCACTTTCTTGTGCACTATGATCATCATTGCTTCTTGTATTTCATGAGGTCTTACACATATAGGTAAATAGTTATTGATTTACCCATTGATAGATGATGTCGAGTCGTTATCAAAACAACTAATTTTTTCTAATAATTTTTGCAATATAAAGCTTGATTTATATTGATTCACGGAGACATATTCAGTTAAATTCAATTTTAGATTTTTTTTAATAATATAAGTAAAGTTTGGGGGTTTGAAAACTTAGAATCAATTAAATGAATTTACAAACACAATTAACTTGCGTAAAAATATATTAAGAAATATCAATCCACATAATCCAAAATGCAGGTAATTTAGATTATCATAGTATCTAAATGTTTTAATTCGAATTTGAACAATTACTCAATCTAATTATTAATTTAATTAAATAACCTAATTGAATTTGATCATGAATTAAATCAAATTATCATTTAATCTAATTCAAATTAATTATCAAATAAGAATATCAATCTATTCCTAATTTGAATTCTAATCACAAAAAAGTTAATCACAATAGTAATACACAAATATAAAATTAGAGAAAAAGAGAATAAATTCAGAACAATTTGGCCCAAAACTCAAATCAAATTTAGGTCATCTAGATTCTGCAGATTGAATGAGAGGTTTAGCCTTCCATTGAAGTACTTAACCCAAAAGAATGAGAGAATTCGAGAGAAGGTAAAAATAATGATTCTTATTAACGGCCAAATCTCAAAAGTTCAAAGTGTTTAATCTCATACCTAATTTAGAACCTTATTAGTCTATTTATAAATTTTAATTAGGGTAAACTAAATGGTCAAAATTCAGGCCTTAACTATAACTATAAGATCAATTACAATTATTTAATAAAAAATGGTCCAAATACAATCTTACAACAATATTCAGCAAATTTGTCTGAACTTCAAAAAGTCATAGAAAATTGAAAACAACTCAAAATTCAGTGATCCATATATGCATTTTAAAGTCCTGGACATGTAGAATCCAATGCAACTAGAATCAGCTAAAAATGATATCTATAGAAAAAGTTATGGCTAAAAGAGTAATCAGATGTTAGAATAATCAAAAATACGAAATTTAAACATTTATTTGTAACAACTCCAATTTATTCAAATAACTAGAAAATGATAAAAACTCTAAAAATAAACTATATGAAAATTATTTAAAAATCAAAATAAAATTATAAATGTAAACATAAAATAATGTTATATCACTCATGCACATGGATATAACGTATATAATATCAAGCCCCTTAAAAAAAGTATGACGAGGAGTGTTAGTCGAGAAATAAGTGTGAGGTTTGTACTACTTTTGCTTTAAACATCTTATTTCCATTGTAATTATAGTTTCAAAAAGTTCATTAAATAATTCTTGCTGCATGTTTTAAAATAATATTTTAAATAAATAAATTTGGCCTAATTTTCATCTAGGTCCAATAATTAGCCCACAACAAATCAAACCGCTTGACTAACTAAAAATTTGACTATATCAAAACTCGACTTACCCAATGATTACTTTGGACAAAATTGGTCCTTATTAACATTTGTTTGAGTTTTAATGGTTCTGGGTTAGTGGGCCAGAACCTGACTAGTGCTCAATTCTATCATAAAGATATTCTCCTTCATTGCATTATTGGTTGTTAATTAATGCTGATGAGCCAAAATATTTTGTTGAGGCTATGCAAGGTAATGACTCTATTAAGTAGTGCCAACAATGAAAGAAGAGATGAGATCCCTTTAGAAAAATAGAACATAGTTATCAACCAAGTTATCAAAAAGAAAAAAAAAACTTGCAAAATAGGTGGGTTTATAGAATGAAGGAAGAATTTGATGTTAGTAGAAGATATAAAACGAGACTTGTAGTGAAAGAGTTTTAATAAAAATAAGGAATTAACTTCACAAAAAATTTTACTCCTGTTGTCAAGATATAGTTAAAAGTTTTCACAAAAGTTCACTCTATTAGAGTCATCTTGGGGATTGTAACTACAAAAAATCTTCACTTCGAGTAATTAAATGTTAAAAATGCATTCTTACATGAAAATTTAAAGGAAGATATTTATATGACATAACTAAAAGGTTTTAAAGTTCCACACAAAGAGAATCTTATGTGCAAACTTCATAAAAACTTGTATGACTTGAAACAAGTACCATTATAGTGATACAAAAAATTTAATGAATTTACGAACAACTCTAAATTTCACATATATGACATGGATCATTGTTACAATGTTAAAAAGTATGTCAATAGTTATGTTAACCTTCCTTTATATGTTGATGACATGTTGATTGTAGGATCCAGTATGATAAAAATTAATAGATTGAAGCAACAATTGACAAAAGATTTTGAAATGATGGATCTTGTGGTCAAACAAATTCTCAGTACGAAAATCTTTAGAGATAGATCATAAAGAATTTTGAAATCATCTCAAAAGAAATATATAAAAAAATTACTTTATAAGTTTTATGTTGGAATGAAAATACTCCTTTGAAAATCCACTTAAAGCTTTCAAAGGAGCTATCATACCAAACAACTTAAGAAAAAAGTTACGATAGTGCTATATACATCAATAACAGGGAGTCTCATGTATGTTATGGGACATAGCACACGCAGTAGCAGTTGTTGTAACACTCCTTTTCTAAATCTCGTTACATTTGGATATGGCTACATGATGTTTTGGTATTAATGCCAGCTTAGTGTCGTGTGGACTTTTAGTTTCCAAACTTAGTTTTAGGTACACTCGTGTTCATAGTGTATCGTGGGGGGTTCCTTCCACATTATGTGCAAGTGCTACTTCGTTAAGGACCATAATGCAGGCTTGACATTTAAGAGGCTTTAGAACTCAAATCTGCAGCTAAATTCCCCTTTCCAACTGAAACCCGAGATTGTATACACGATGTTCCAGTTAGACTGCATAGTAATCCTACGTGAGCGGCCACCAATTCTGCATAATTGCACGAGCATGCATTTCCTCCCTATCAACTGAGGAAATTCAGAACTTGATTACGTGACGAAATTGTATGCATTGCACCCCCAGATTCTACTTCTTATAGAAGTGTCAATATTATGAACTCCCATTGCCCCTCGCCATACTTAGTCACACCAATGAATATATACTCAACAGCCAAGCACCTTAGGATGAAAGAGTCTTACGCGTGAATCACCCCAAATCTGCACTTACAAGCCATTAACTT